CAACAACAACAACAACAACAACAACAACAACAACAACAACAACAACAACAACAACAACAACTCCGATCTTCCTCTAATCTGTTTAACTACAAAAGTATGACGACATGTATTATTATGAGCTTTGTTGCATCCTAATAAGTAATCACATTTTTTGACTCAATAAACTGTAATCTTACAAAGAAAAAAGAGAAAACGTTGCTTACTTTTACTACTTTAGCTGACTTTAGCTGGACCCCCTTTGATGAAAGGAATGATCGGTGCATTAACATCAACTGAAAGTCATTGGCCCACTATATTTACACTCTAGATCTACTGGAAAGGAGCAATAAATCTTGAGAGATGTAAAAAAATTTAGAAGGTCTAGATATAGAAATGTATAGATTGATTCTCTATTCCGCTTTCGTGGTTGTACACTCCCGAATTTCAAAGGTGTGAAATCAGGCAAGTGCGCACGGCTAGTGAACGGAAACCTCACTTGTCTACCATGGCGTTTTAGAAGACGGACTTTCCCTAGATTAGATCTAAACGAAACTATTGAAAAACTGAAAATTAAACTACAGTCACTTAAACCTCCTTAATATAACTGTGCACCCTTTTAATGATTCTGAACCACCGTTATTTTTTGTCAAATTCGAAAGTTAAGTGGTTCGGCAGTTTTAGGCGGCGAAAGTGCCATGGCGACTTTCACAAATATAATATTATGTAATACTCGGTCTAGAGCCGTAATTTACTCACAGTTGATTACAAAAATTGTGAGGCATTGTGGAGAAATCAGACGCTCGTCACAATAATGAAATAGAGAAAGAAACTGGAATTTTCCTGTCCGTTTGGCAATTTTTATCGAATTTTTGTTTTTTTGACTCAGCACATTGAGTGAGAGAGAGAACGAAATTGGATAAATGGCATCAATAGAAAGCGGTGTATGCATAATTGACTGGCGAAAAGAGATAAAAAAAAAGAAAGAATGGGAAAGGATTGGATTGTAATATAATAGTTCTCCAATCGGCTTTCACTTCAAAAGTAGTGAACAAAAAACAACAACAAACAAAAACAACAAGAGTCGGTGCTTCATAAAATTAAATAGGAGGTAACCAATGAATTGATCTAGAGTGAGTTCTAAATTAACAGTTCTTTCCCCTTACAGACAGCGATGTCCCGCATAGCTCCCTGTTATTATTGATGTTGTCTGTTAAACAGAGGAATGCACTCGCTCATAACACCCTTTCTTTAGTAAGAGTTTTACGGCACTTGCAACACAATAAGGTCATATAAGTGCCGACTTATAACGATGTTTGATTACTTTTGAAAACGTTTATTCAGTGATGGTGTGGTGTATAATAGTTTTTTCCAGCCGAGGCGGGTTGTGTGTGTGCATGTGTGTGTGTGTGTGTGTGTGTGTGT